TAATGGACCACAGCTACCAAGGCCTCCACCAGACTGAGTCCAGTACAGCTAGATGGTGCCCGGCTGCCACCACTGACTTCTCTGACGGGGATAGCAACAGAGGGTTCTGGACAGAACTGGAGAAGGATGTAGACAAAATTCTAACACAAAAAAAAGACCAGATTTACTGGCCTGACAGATACTGGAGAAACCCCTAGAGTATGGCCCCCGGACACCCTTTTAGCTCAGTGGTGAAATCACTCCCGAGGTTCACCGTTCAGCCGGGGGTTGGACAGCCTCATAAAACAAAACAGAACTAATGACGCACAGCCAGTCCAGGGACAAGGACTAGAAGGCAGGAGGGGACAGGAAAGCTGGTGATAGGGAACCCAAGTTTGAGTAAGGATAGTGTTGACATGTAGTGCGGTTCTTAACAATTTTCGTAGGGCAATATGTGTACTATCTGTTTAATGAGAAACTACTTTGTTCTGTAAACCTTCATCTAAAGTGAGAATAGCAGCACAACTGGAAGAACGTAATTGACGTCACTGAATTGTACATGTAGAAAGTTTTGAAATGGTGTATCTTTGGCTATGTATATTTTCACCAAAAAAAAAAAAGGTCCTCCAAGGCCGAGAAGGGAACATGTTGACATATCGTGGTGTTGTTAACCAATGTCATAAGGCAATATGTGTACTGACTGTTTAATGAGAAACTACTTGTTGGGTAAACCTTCACCTAAAGTACAATTAAAAAAAAAAAAAGAAAAGAAAAAAAAAATCTAAATCTAAAGTGGAAATGTATACAATTTTTTTTTAATCTCAGATGTTGGTGTATAAAATTTAATAAGTCCTAGTGTTGAGAAAATGTGAGACATGGGAACTCTCACAACCAATAAAAAGTAAGGAAAATCACTATACCTATCTTTGAACAACTTGGCATTAACTATTTTAAGTACACATAACTTTTAAATCAAATCATAGTGCTAGTAAAACTTTTCTACAAATATACTCAATAATACATGCAACATTTCATTTTACTTGAACCCACAATGAATGCCCATGGAAGCAGCTGTCAAGAAATAGAAGACGTAATTGAGTTAGTTAATCTGTGGCAAAAGACTTCTGTAAAGTGTTAAAAAGCAAGCATGCGACTTTGAGAACTAAAGAGCACCTGACCCAAGCCATGGTATTTTCAGTTGCCTCACAAGCATGTGAAAGCTGGACAATGAATAAGGAAGACCGAAGAAGGATTGATGCATTTGAATTACGGTGTTGGCGAAGAACATTGAATATACCATGGACTGCCAAAAGAATGAACAAATCTGTCTTGTAAGAAATACAGCCAGTATGCTCATTTGAAGTGAGGATAGCGAGACTTTGTCTCACATACTTTGGACATGTTATCAGGAGAGACCAGTCCCTGGAGAAGGACAACATGCTTGGTAGAATAGAGGGTCAGTGAAAAAGAGGAAGACCCTCAACAAGATGGAGTGACACAGTAGCTGAAACAATGGGCTCAAGCATAACAACACTTGTGAGGAAGGCTCAGGACCGGGCAGCATTTCTTTCTGTTTTACACAGGGTCACTATGAGTCAGAACCAACTCGATGGAACCTAATAATAATAATAATGGCTAGTGATCACGAGCATTTCCTTATGTGTCTGTTAGCTGTCTGAATGTCTTCTTTGGTGAATTGTCTATTCTTATCCCTTACCCATTTTTTAATTGGATTATTTGTCTTTTTGTTGTAGAGGTGTTGAATTTTCCTATAGATTTTAGAGATCAGAACTTTGTGGGATATATCATAACCAAAATTTTTTTCCCAGTCTGTAGGTTCTCTTTTTACTCTTTTGATGAAGCCTTTTTATGAGCCTAAGTGTTTAATTTTTAGAAGATCTCATTTATCTAGCTTATCTGCTGGTGTTTGTGTGCTATTAGTTGTCGCTTGAATCCTGTTTTAGGCTGTATATTAGGGCCCCTAGTGTTGACCAAGAAACCCTGGTGGTGTAGTGGTTAAGAGCTGCGGCTGCTAACCAAAAGGTCAGCAGTTTAAGTCCACCAGGGGCTCCCTGGAAACTCTATGGGACAGTTCTACTCTGTCCTATAGGGTTGCTATGAGTCGGAATCAACTCAACTGCAATGGGTTTGGTTTATTACTGACCCTATTTTTAATCCATGATCTTTATAGTTAGTCGTTTTATATCTAGGTCTTTGACCGACTTTTAATTAGTTTTTGTGTTTGGTGTAAGATATAGGTCCTGCTTCATTTTTTTTTACAGACGGACATCCAGTTTTGCAGCACCATTTGTTAAAAACACTGTATTTTCCACATTTAATGGACTTCGGGCTTTTGTCAAAGATCAGTTGGCTGGGTTCTCGATTCTGTTCCATTTGTCAAAGTATCTGCCATTGTACCAGTGCCTGGCTGTTTTGACTACCGTAGCCGTGTAGTAGGTTCTGAGGTCAGGAAGCCTCCTACTTTGTTCTTCTTTTTCGATAATGCTTTACTTACGTGGGGCCTCTTTCCTTTCCATATAAAGTTGATGATTAGTTTTTCCTTCTTGTTAAAGAATGCTGTTGGTATGTGGATCGGGATTGCATCGTATTTGTAGATTGCTTTGGGTAGAATTGACATTTTCACAGTGTAGAATCTATCTACTCACGAGCATGGTGTGTTTTTCCATTTATGTAGATTTCTTTTGGTGTCTTGCAGTAGTGTTTTGTAGTTTTCTTTATACAGGTTCTTTACCTCCCTGGTTAGAGGCTAAGAGGAAATATTTTCTTATAAACAAATGTAAATGAAGTGGAACTTGAAGGATGCCTATGTTTAGATAGAAGGGAAAAAGATGAAATAGTATCCGTGATCAGAAGAGAAAAGACAAGGGAAATGAGATAGAGCTAATATAACACGTATAAAATATGGGGGAGGAAATAAAAAGGTCTATTTCACATAATGCTGCTCTCTTATATGCAAAGTCCCTGTATAAAAGACAATATCCTCTAAGCCTAGAGACAGCATTTACAAAGATACTGGGATTTATTATACACACATACAAGTATAAGAGTTTATTCACTTGTATTCCACAACCTCTGCTGCTGGCACTCCAACCATTTGGACTTTGATCTGTGGCAGTTACATTTTAACTTCTTAATTCATTCTTTCATGCATATAAGCTAGAGCCAGATCACAAAGTAAGGGAATTTTATAAGGAAGGATTGCATTTTACTACGTTGCTTAAAAAAGGGGCTTCAGTTCTTGTGCTCATACAGCTATGTTGTTATTTTAGATGTGGGTCGTGTGGAAAGGTGCTTATGTGGCCAATGGAATACAGTCACTGGTTAAATTTAAAGACGATACTGGATGAACTTGTTCAGAGGGGCCATGAAGTGACCGTGCTGACGTCTTCAGCTTCCATCCTTGTGGATCCCAATAAATCATCTGCTCTTAATTTTGAGGTTTATCCAACATCCTTTATTAAAGATGAATTAGATTCCTATTTTATGAAATGGGTCATGACATGGACATTTGAATTACCGAAGAGTACGTTGTGGGCATATGGTCCAAAGATGCAAAAACTACATCATGAATATTCTGATACTATTCAAAAACTCTGTGAAGATGCAGTTTTGAACAAGAAACTTATGAAGAAACTGAAAGAGTTGAAATTTGATGTCATTCTTGGAGGTGCCATTTTTCCTTGTTGTGAACTGCTGTCTGAGCTTCTTAACCTCCTTTTATCTACACTCTTTGATTTAGTACAGGCAATACATATGAAAAACTCTGTGGAGGACTTCCATACCCTCCTTCCTATGTACCTGTAGTCATGTCAGAACTTAGTGACAAAATGACATTATGGGGATAGTGACAAATATGTTGTATTTACTACATTTTGACTTTATGTTTGAGAGTTTTAACAAGAAGTGGGATCAGTTTTACAGTGAAGCATTAGGTAGGTCAGTGGTTCATTTATTATATTTTCTTACCTCTAGTGGGTGGAAAGAAATCTTGATTTTTTGTATGGTTTAGAGTAAACATGTAGGAATATAGGATCAAAAGAAATGTATATTTTGTTTGAGGTAATGGTGAAATGGAAATATAAAAGTTTCTCAGTCAAAATATATCAACGATTACAGAGAGCTTATACAAAGTAAGCTAGAACTCAGTGACACTGGATACTTTACTCCAGTTTGACACTGAACCACTATATTAATATTCTTAGGGCTTGTTTATGTAAAGAGTTACATATGCACTGTGTTTATCATAAATCATGAGTATACCAGCTGTTTATTGCTGCATAAATAGTCATCCTAAAATTCAGGGTTTACAAAAACAATCTTATTCTTTGCCCATGCTCCTGTGGGCCAGCAGTTTGGGCTGGAATCAGTGAAATGTTTCTCCTTTGGGGCAGGCCTAAGCTCACTCATTCAACTACAGTTAGCTCTCAGTTTGATGGGACAAAAGGCTAAAAGAAAATCTCATTTACATGTCTCAGGACTAGAAGATTATCAAGGCACTTCGAGTTTCTCCTTCATGTTGCCTCTCTAATGGGCAAGCTTGAGCTTTTTCATAGAAGAGCAGAATTCCAAGAGCATGCATGAAGATTAGGCCTGGGTTCAGAAGTCATACAGTCTCACTTCTGCTCTCTTATATGGGTAAAAGCAGGAGGTAAGACTAGCCCAAATTCAAAGGGTAGAAAAATTGACTCCACCTACTAATGGAGGAGGAGTCCCTGGGTGGTGTAAACAGTTAAGCACTCGACTACTACCTAAAAGGTTGTCAGTTTGAACTCACTCAGAGACACCATGAAAGGCAGGCCCAGCGGTCTGCTTCCTATATGTCACAGCCTTGAAAACACTGTGGAGCAGTTCTCATCTGTATACATGGGATAACCATGAGTTAGAATCCACATGACAGCAACTAATAACAACAAGAACTAATAGAGGAGTCGCAAAGAATGTGTGGACATTTTAAATATACCACAATGAGATATTTCATTGACCATCTTGATAACGTCAAGTAAAAATTAGTCATGAGGAAACATACTTTCTGAAACTGGCTGTAGTAAAAAAACACATTGCTATGTTATGTAACTCTATTTACTTATCTTTAAAATTAAACATTTCTATGAGATCATGTATAAGGTTCTTACAGTTGTCAAAATCAAAGTCTCTGATATTTGTCTTCCAGACTCCATTCTTCTATTTTTATATCTGTAGTATTTCTTTTATGTAACCATCTAATATCTCTTTTAAGAAGGGAATTACTTGGTTCCGGATGACTAGTCTCTGTGAATTATCTCCTGATTACTCCTTCTTTCTCAATGGATTAAAAACAATCTGTTAATTAAACTTAAAACATTGAGGATTGACATTAGAATGATCAGTCTCTGGTGTCTGATTCTACATTCCCACTTCCCCTCTGTTAGAAAAATGAAGCAAAATGTCCTGGTCTAATGCATTTTCATATATGAATGATTTCTAACCAAAATTCTGTTAACAATTTATTCAATAACATGTATTTATTGAGATCCTCTTATGTTTCTTGTCTTGAGGGGGCACAAGAAAATTAGTAAACATTTATTAAGAGCTTACTCTCTTCCAGACACTCTTCTAAGCATTTTGTATTAGTTAACTCAGGGAAGATACACAAAAACTCTTTTCATAGGCACCATTATTCGCCAAATTTTACAGATGTGGAAACTGAAGTACAGAAAGTTTATGTAAATCACTTGAGGTCTCATGGGAAGGAAGTGATGAAGATGGGATTGAAGCACAGTAGTCTGGTAGCTGCACATAACACTTTGCATATTGCATTAACTGAAAGAAAAGAGAGGTATCAGTCTTTAAAACTCTACTTTCTATTTAGAGAGACATTCTGCTAAGCACTGAGTATACTCATAAAAGAAGTTCAGTTTAGTTTTTCTTAATCTGGGTGTCCTTTTTAACAGCTGCATTTCATAGCTATCATATATATCTAAATTGCCTAAATTTACCTTCTCCAAGAGAAATCTTTCCTCATCACCATTTACTAATATATGTAAAGCATCCTTTTCTTTGGCTACTATTGAAAAAAAATTGGACATTTAAGAAAAATAGCTCTTTTAGGTGGAACTTGACCATTCTTAGCACAAATGTAATAATTACAATGGCTAAGGAGGTATGTAACATTAATTTAAGATTATTAAAGAAGTAAGGATCCTAGTTATAAAAACATTAACCAATGACTATATGTATTGTATGAAGTTATGGGTGACAGTCATAGAAAGCATGAAGCCAGAACCAAAGTCTCTAAGATAAATCTGCTGAAAATTAATCAGGAATCATAGGTCATAAAAAATAAGCTCTTAGAACTGAACGGGAGCCATAATAAGCACACAGATCGCAAAGTGAAGAAAAACGGCATGATACGGCAAGCAATCAAAGAAGAAAACAAGATGACGAATGTAGCGAGTAGGTAGGTGGGTGGTTCTGTAGAAAATAAATGACTAAGCAAATAATCTAAATCCACAAAGAAACTTAGGGAATCTTTTAGGTAGATAAAAGGACAGATGTACAAGAGACTGATGCAAATACAACCAAGTCTGTTTTCCAATCAGAGCTGTAAGTTTTGTATCACTCCTTGGGCAGACTCCCATAGCAGCTTTGCTAATTTCAATCTAGGGATAGAAATAGAGAAAGAAGATTCCATGGCCACGTTATAAATGCGTAAAAGGAGAAATTTGCAGCTTTTTGCAGGTGTCTCTCCTTTAGCTTAGTAATGCTTATCTTCTTTTTTTTGGTAATATTTTCAATTTTTCTGGAGATGAAAGGCACCAACTTAGGCAAGAAAATGTATTTGATTTGCTGAATAATGGGGTAGTTTTTCAGGCTCAGTTATTTTCAGATAGTTATCAGGAAGCAATCTCTAAATTTTGTTGCAATAATCAATATGTGTCAGAATATTTCAGGTTTCCTAGAAGGCAAAAATATAATGACATAGGGATAAAAATGAAAGACATTGTCTTTATTTAGGGTTTAATATTCATCAGGTACTTTAATGATCATGAAGTCCCAGGAATTTGCTTCACCAATAAGCTTCCTTCAGTAAAACAAACACGGGAGAGTGAGTTTCTCAGCTATGGAAGAAAAGGCTAGTTGATTCCTAATGAACTCTGCATCATTAGTGTCTAGAGGCCCCTTTACGAACGTCACAATCAAGGAGAATACCTGGTCCACTGGGGCTTCTCTGCCTGCCTTTACCTGTACCCTTAAAGGGTATTCAACTTTCCACTGGTAACCTGTTTGTTCTCTGGAGGCTGTACACCAGATGGATGCTAGCATGGACAATGCAAATTCCTCACACTGCAAATCCATACTTGATGTGGAGGTTTACTAAGAATTACCTCTTTAGAAAACAATTTCATGTTAAACCACTAACATGGACCTTGGGGTGTTTCTACAGTTTCACTGAGCAGCAAAGTGGCTCCTGAAATGATCCCATGGCCCATGTTAAACCATATTACATGGGTCTGCCCTGCAGGTGGAGAATGATCACTTGGTAAAGAAAATAAAATATGTTGAATGTGCCAAAAGACTAAAGTAAAAATGTCACAGATATAAAAGAAACACAAAGTTAGTACCATGTAGATGGAAAAGGAAAAAATGAGCAGTTAGAATGTAACATTCATCACATACATAGACAATTATAGAGAAATATTAGCCTAGAAATAAAATCTATCAGCTGGGTGAAGTTGCAATACATTAAAAAAAAAAAAGAATTTTTAATGAACATTTGAATCTATAACGCTTGCAGAGGTGAAGTTTCTGATTAGATATGTAAGCCTATTACTTGCATGACCTTTTTTTCTTTCTTCTTCTTTTTTTTTGGTTCATACATCTTTTTTAATTTTTAACACAGACATATTTTGAGCATCTTGAAATACACAGACCAGAAATTTTATTCCTAGGTCTTCTAAGAAAAGTATATATGAGTGGCAACACTTACAAATTTATAAATTTCCCTATCTTTATTTTATTTTTCAGGAAAACCCACGACACTGTGTGAATTGATGGGGAAAGCTGATATGTGGCTGATACGAACATATTGGGATTTTGAATTTCCTCACCCATTCTTACTTAATTTTGAATTTGTGGGAGGACTCCACTGCAAACCCGCCAAACCTTTGCCTAAGGTAAAACTTTGGTCTCTCAAAGAGTGTTTTCCATTCCCAGTCCAGATGTCTTGTGGAAAAGATATGGGAATACGTACAAAATTTCATCACACCATTCCCTCACACATCATATGTTTCATTTATTATTATCACCACAAGATTGTGGGTTACATTATAGTTGTAGAGAAGGTTGAGAGAAAGGTCAGATCATGCACATATAGCCATTTTAAAAGAGTTTTTCACTGCACAGCGTATAAGAAAAGATAATTTGTTCAACATAGTATATTCTGTGTCAGACTTTAGATGCCAAATTCTCTACTCACGACTGGATAGGGAGTGATGAACGAGAGACACAGCCCCAGTCCTTAGTAAGCTCATAGATTAGATGACAAGATAAACCATAAACATTAAACAAGTATATGCATTTATATACAATAAAGCACAAATAATATTATGATAGGTAAGATTGAGATAGTATGGCAGTTCTTCTCTCCTAAATTGCAAAGTATTTAAAACAAGCAAATTCTAATAGTGTTACAGCAAAAGTGAAAATGCGTGTCTATATTCAAAGTCCATGCTAGAGAAGATGGGATGTGGGGCTATAATACATAATATTTTGATAGGCAGCACATGCAGAAAGACTCCAATTCTACCCAAACTTATAATCCCTTCCCTATAAAAATAAGGGTGCACAGGAGAAAGACAGATAAAATTAAAGGAAAAAAAGATTTGATTTGATTTTATCTAAACTTGTGCTTATAGTCCAAAATGCAGAAAAATGTACTTGTGTGTGTTTCTTTGGCCCAGTCATCAGGCAAGCTTATTCCCCTACATGTGAACCTCAGAAGAGCTTGTCATCAGAGATACAGGTTCTGAAGTGAATGCATGTGTGCAGAGAGAAGAGCAGGATGAGTGTAAACACTTGGCACCACTGAATTACAAGGCAGGGCAAAGTGCCAGATCCTTGTGAGTGACATTTACAGATATAATTTCCAATAAAGAGAAGAGTACATGAATTTGGGGTAAGTGGAGAATTTCTTATCCCTCATGGTATAATCAACTAGGTAATTTACAGCATAAATACAAATATACAACTGCTTCTGTGCTGATTTCTAGCTATGTGACTGTGGACAAGTTACTTAACTTTCTATGCCACAGCATCCTTATCTTTAAAATAAGGACAGCAATAGCTCCTATCTCATTGGACTGGTATGAGAATAAAATGGCCTACTGTGTGTAAAGCCCTTACACAGAACCAAGCATATGGTTATGCTTAACGAATATTAACTACTGTGATTACAATTTTTATTAGTGCTCCCCCCAACAAAAGGATTTAAAAGGATTTGTAAAGAGAATAGACTCCACAAGATTAAAAAAGGGAAAAGAGTAAGGAAGAAATAAAATAAAGTAAAAATAAAGGGCAAAACTGGTCATAGGTTTTACATTAGACAAGTGATAATAATATTTCTAGAAACAACTGACTTCTGAGGATAATCAGAGAGTTATACTAGCTAGTTGTACTAGCAAGAAACCAAAGAAAGCATGTGCAAAATTTAAATTCTTTTAGAAGCTTTAATATCTGGTCATTAATCTAGACTGGAGGGATTTCTTCTGACATTTATACAAATGTGTATTAGAATATATACTGGCAAACTCATAATTTTCTTCCTCCAAGACATTTCTGGATGCACTCCAGCATTTGATCCAGTCTGATTTGACATCACAGAGTTTCACAGCATAAAACAAAGCAGAGATCATTGTAACCTGTTAATACAATTTGTGGGAAAAAGCTTCTCTCAGAAGTTACTTGGAACCAGATTTAATGGTCTGACAGAGACTGGAGGAACCCCCGAGACTATGGCCCCTAAATGCTCTGTTAACCCATAACTAAAACCTTTCCCGAAGCCCACTCTTCAGACAAAGATGAGACAGGACTATAAAACAAAAAATAACACACATGAGGAATGTGCTTCTTAGTTCAATTAGATACATGAGACCAAATGGGCGGCTTCTGTCTGGAAGCAGGATGAGAAAGCAGGAAGGGACAGGAACTGGTTGAATAGACACAGGGAACCAGGGATGGAAAGGGAGAGTGTGCAGTCACCTTGTGGGGATTGCAACTAATGTCACAAAACAATATGTGTATAAATTTTTGAATGAGAAATTAACTTGAGCTGTAAACTTTCACCTAAAGCACAATAATAAAAAAAAAGGAGTTACTTGGAGTGATGTATTAAAAATCATTCAGTAATGCATAAAATTAGAAAACATATAATTTTATTTCAACCATTTAAATGGCCTAAATCACTAGCTAAGCTTGACATCAAAAATAGTGAGTAGGTCATCACGCAGGAAATGACTAGTTAAATGTTAACTTGTAACATACTTACTAAATCAGACTATAGATGAAGATTTTTCAAAATTTTGTGTCATGGGCCTCTATGAGTCCGTACATAAGTTGACCAGATGTTTTACTCATTAATTCACGTTCCCAAGGAGTATTATCTGCCTAATATAATTTGTTTGTAGGCAAAATTTGTAACATTCATTATCAACCATTGGTTCAGATCCTTTAGGAATATCTGAGCCAGTATCAAATACACAATCAAATTATACCCAAGATTTAAGGAGTCTATATAAAAATAATGCTAATATATGCCATTGCAATTTTATTAGGAATTTTAATGAAAATGGAGGAAAACAAACTGTAGGAAAGTTTGAAATGCTATTTCCTTAGTATGAGACAAGATTAATATAGCACACTCAACATTCTCAGTCTGTGCCAGAAAGAAAAAGGATAAAATATCTTGAAGAAAAATTATTCTTACATATATTTGTATCTTTCAGAAAATTACTGTAATGTCCACAGAAAAAACGTTAATAGATCAGAGTCTTATCAGAGGCTATACTTCAGGGATCCTGCTGGGATGGGAATTTGAAACACCAGGAAAGGTTGGGGTTAAAAATAGAGGTTCTTACTGATGTACCTACAGGTAACTTAACAAGGGCACTTCCTTTCTTATACCAAAACCTTTATATGTACCCTCTCTTTAGCCTTCATAACCAGGAAAGCCCACACACCAAAATAAAACTTCCCAGAAAGGGATCAATCTCAGTAGCAAATATATTGGACAGAAAATAATATGCAAAGTAATTCAAGGATCCTTACAGACTCTCTTTTCCCTTTATTCAAGAAATCCTGTAAGTAGTTCAGAGCCTCATGACTACTTAAGTCAACTGTCAACTCCTCAAAAACCATTAAGAAAAAAAAAAAAAAAACCTGTTATCAAACGAAGCTCCATTTATTTGACATTAAAGGAAGGGAAAAGAGCACCTTGACATAATTTGATTACTGTTTCAGAAAAGGGAAGTCAGAGGAAAGTATCTTCAAGCTGTTCAGGCCTGAGCTATGTCATATTAAGGACAGCTTTGCAAAGTAGAGAACTTGTTGGATGTAATTTAGGACATAATAGTTTTGGATTAGTGGACACAATGAAGTGAGGTCTTAAAACTAGTCTAGATGCACAAGCTGCTAGCCTTGATAAGTAAGCTATTTTAGTGGTCCACAGTCTTATCTTCCTGGAACAAATCACTAAATTATTTTTGCTTAGGTCTCAGTATTGTTTAGCACAGCATTATACGCTTTTTAGTACTCAAAGTTATAATTGCACTGTACAGTATGCCAGGTTGTTCTGGTTATACACTGGGTAGAGAAAATGGATTTTATGTCACCCATTTTCCTCTAAAGGGATTTACTAGTTTGGCATGTTATATTAGAAAACTATTTTAACAGTACTTGCCTACTTGGAAGTGACTGTATTTATTTTCTTAAAACTAGAAAAAGAAAATGAACAAAATGAAACAAACAAAAATCTCCCCGTACTATTACTTTTTCACTTTAAAAAAATTACATATTTTCAGGAAATGGAAGAGTTTGTCCAGAGCTCTGGAGAAGATGGTGTTGTGATTTTCAGTTTGGGGTCAATGGTCAAAAACCTTCCAGAAGAAGGGACTAACCTGATTGCTTCAGACCTTGCCAGGATTCCACAGAAGGTATGTTAAATTGTCTTTGTGCCGAACAATTACTTGAGTGAGCCTCTTCAAAGTCCATAAAGAGGGTCCATTAAAATGGTTTCCACAAACAGAGGAGAATTTCATAATACAATTAGATAAAAATGATCTCATATTCCCATTTTTCTTTATTGGTTAAATTCAAAAATAGTGTAAGCAGGATTCATTTGCTTACATATTCCAAACTGAGTTTTATATTGCTCTCAGAAACATTTATATATTAGAGAATATGTGTGAAGTTTTGATGCTATTGTGATAGTATGACCAGGAACATAAGAATGCCCAAATCTTACCTTGCAAATTAAAGCGTTTCCCAAAGAAGGACTCTGGAAGTTATGGGCAGCAGCAGAGAGGCATCAAATTACAATTAAATTATTTGCTGCACAAGAACTCAATATTAGAAAGAGAATTTTGTGAAAGGATGAGCTGGACATTAAAATTCAAATCCAGGTGAAATTAGAACTCCTTCTGCCTGCTATGGCCCATTCTTCTCCCAAGGCGAAGATAGTGTGTATCTTAAAACCAGCCCTCTGTGCAGAGACCCAGAAATAATCCTAGGCCCATCCATGTGGAATCCTGGAGAGGAACTACAGAGGTAGTTGCCCAAGGGGGCGAGGCTTTGCCTCCTATGAAAGCAGGAAATGGCAATACTAAGGAAGGGGCACAAACTTTTGACGTTAAAGTCTCTTTAGCCCTGCCAAGTAAAATTTTGCTGAAGATACTTCAAAAATGGTTGCAGCAGTACATTGACAGGGAACTGTCAGAAATTCAATCTGGATTCAGAAGAGAACGTGGAACAAGGCTTGTCATTGCTGATATCAGATGGATCATGACTGAAAGCAGAGAATATCAGAAAGATGTTTACTTGTGTTTTACTGAGTATGCAAAAGCATTCGACTGTGTGGATCATAAAAAATTATGGATAACATTGCAAAGAATGGGAATTCCAGAACACTTAATTATGCTCGTGAGGACTGTACATAGACCAAGAGGCAGTCATTCAAACAGAGCAAAGGGATACCACAGGGTTTAAAATCAAGAAAGGTGTGCGTCAAGGTTGCACCCTTTCACCATACTTATTTAATCTGTATGCTGAGCAAATAATCTGAGAAGCTGGACTATATGAAGAAGAACAGGGAATCTGGACTGGAGGAAGACTCATTAACAACCTGCGATATGCAGATGTTGCGTGCTGAAAATAAAGAGGACTTGAAGCACTTACTGATGAAAATTAAAGACGACAGCCATCAGTATGGATTATACCTCAACATAAACAAAACAAAAATCTTCAAAACTGGACCAATAAGCAACATCACAATAAATGGAGAAAAGATTGAAGTTGTCAAGGATTTCATTTTACTTGGATCCACAGTCAACGCCCATGGAAGCAGCAGTCAAGAAATCAAACAGTGTATTTCATCGGGCAAATCTGCTGCAACAGACCTCTTTCAAGGGCTAAAAAACAAAGATGTCACTTTGAAGACTAAGGTGTGCCTGACTCAAGCCATGGTGCTTTCAATAGCCTCATATGGCTGTGAAAGCTGTACAAAGCATCAGGAAGACTGAAGAAGAATTGATGCTTTTAAATTACGGTGTTGGTGAAGAATACTGAATATACAATGGTCTTCCAGAAGAATGAACAAATCTGTCTTGGATGAAGTACAGTCAGAATGCTCATTAGAAGCAAGGATGACAAGACTTCATCTCACATACTTTGGGCATGTTATCAGGAGGAGCCAATCCCTGAGAAAGGACATCATTCTTGGTAAAGTAGACAATTACTTAAAAAGAGGAAGACCCTCAAAGAGACTTATTGACACAGTGGCTGCAACAATGGGCTCAAGCATAATAACAATTATGAGGTTGGTGCAGGACAGGGCAGTGTTTCATTCTGTTGTACATGGGGTCACTATAAGTCAGAACCAACTCGATGGCACCTAACAACAACAACATTAATAACCGTGGCCTAATTAATATAACTGTTCTGGTCAATCAGAGTAACAACAGTTCATTTCTCAGTGTTTAGGGCAAAAAACGAGAGGCAATCACTAAAAAGCATTGGGTAGAGTCAGGTCAGACACAGAAAAAAATACAAAAGTTCTCCTTCCAGTATAATCCTATAATTAATTTTCTGATAAGATCAATCTGAGCTGTCTCACTGGGTGCAAACTACTTGCCACCTTCATGTCTGATTGAAACTATTTCCAAGTAACCCACACTATTTTTATTTCTGAGGAACTGGAATCTGGCTGAAATCAGATTGACAGATTATAGACAGAAAACCTGCCTCAAAAAAATTTCTCCAGTAACCTATGCTTCCTTGGGATTTCATTTAATTGAGAAGAGACAGTTGTGGGATTAGGTACTACTTTGAGCTAGATGTAGCATCTTTGATACATGGGGCATTCCAAATTAGGGCATTCTAGTTCATAAAGTGGAAACCCTAGTGATGTAGTGGTTACGAGTTCGGCAGCTAACCAGAAAGCAAGCAGTTCGACTCCACCAGGTACTCCTTGGAAACCCTACGGGACAGGTCTGCTCTGTCCCATACGGTGGTTATGAGTCGAAATCCACTCAAAGGGAACAGGTTTAGTTTTTTCTTTTTCTTTTTTTAGTCCATAAAGTGAGACTAGGTAACTTAATAGCAGAAACTGCTAATTTTGCTATTTGAGGTTATTATGATGCCTTTAAATTATGGTTGGCAAAGAATATCGAATGTACCATGGACTGCCAGAAAAATGAACAACTCTGTCTTGGAAGAAATACAGCCAGAGTGCTTCTCAGAAGCGAGGATGGCAAGACTTTGTCTCATACACTTTGGACATGTTATCAGGAGGGACCAGTCCCTGGAGAAGGACATCATGCTTGGTAAAGTGAAGGTCAGCGAAAAAGAGGAAGACCCTCCATGAGACGGAACGACACAGTGGCTGCAAAAATGGTCTCAAACAGCAAGGATTGCGAGAATGGTGCAGGACTGGGCAGCATTTCCTTCTGTTGTACAACGGGTTGCTATGAGTCAGAACCAACTCGAAGTCACCTAACAACAACATGGTCAATGACCATTATAGATGATACAACCTTGCTTGCCAGAAATGAAGACAACTTGAATCACTTAGTGTTGAAGATAAAAGACTAGAGTTTTTACTGTGGCTTACACCTGAACACGAAGAAAACTAGACCAATTAACAATTTCACAGCAAGTGAATAAATTGAAGTAATTAATGATTTCATTCTACTTGGATCAACAATCAAAAATCATGAAAGTGGCAGTCAAGAAACCCAATGGCATATTGAATTGGGCAAAAACCAAACTAAACCTATTGCAGTCGAGTTGATTCCGACTCATAGCAACCCTGTAGGACAGATAGGACAGAGTAGAACTGCCCTATAGAGTTTCCAAGGAGAAGCTGGTGTATTCGAACTGCTAACCTTTTGGTTATCAGCCATAGTTCTTAAGCACTGTGCCACCAGAGCTCCTGAATTAGGAAAGCTGTTGCAAAAGACCCCTTTAAAGCTTTAAAAAGCAAAGGTGCCACCTTTATGACTAAGGTGCGCCTGACCCAAGACACAATCTCTTCAATTGTCTCATATATGTGTGAAAGCTGGACAATGAATAATGAAGACTGATGAAGAATTGATGCCTTTTAATTGTGGTATTGGCAAAGAATACTGAATATACTGTGGACTGCCAAAAAAAACCAAACAAATTTGTCTTAGAAGAAATACAACCAGAGTGCTTCTCAGAAGCAAGGATGGCAAGATTTCAGCTCACTTATTTTGGACAAATCATCAGGAAAGACTAATCATTAGCAAAGAACATTATGTTTGGTAAATTAGAGAGTCAGCAAAACCCTCAATGAGAAGAATTGAAACAATAGTCATAACAATGGAGTCAAAAATAACAATGATGATGAAGGTAGCACCGTATCGGTTAATGATTCATTCTGTAATACGTAAGGTCTCCATGAGTCAGAGCCCACTCGACAGCAAGTAACAACAAAAACAACAAAATAGTGAATGATAATAATGTGGCATCATCAACTAGTTTTTATTTTAATACCCTCCATATCATTGTTTCTGAAATTCCTAGCTTGTTTCATAATATGTTACCATACAACAACAATTCTACTACCAATGCCTTAGGAAAAAAAAACTGAGATTGTGCCTTCAACAAATTTCTGTTTAAAAGATTGAAGGTAGCAGTGTTCTTCCAGTATTTAATCAAAAATAATTTATATTCAGTGCATAAGGAAAAGAAACTTTGTTTGTTCCAAGTAAAATAAAGTATAATATTATTGAGAATTATTATAATGTAGTGTACTTTATTATACTTTCTACTTTGGTAGAAAGATGTAACTCTTCATCAAAATGCTTTACAAAAAAGTAAACATAAGCAAATTCTCACCTATCTTCCTCAGAAAATGCTACAGCAAGCAAAGCTTTTTCTATAGTAAAACTTGGTGTTTTTTACATGAGATGGCCCCAGGAGATAAATCTGTGGAAATTTCAGTTAACTGCGTTTTAAACACTACAGCTTTGATTGATTCTTGAATGCTTCCTAAGTACAATAGTTCCTCATTTACAATCTAATTGCCTTCAGCTCTTTCCAACAAATAATAGCATTTTATAGTAAGCTCTACAAAAAAATACATGATAAATGAGTACTTAGATGTGTAGTACTTTAATTTTTTAACCTATTGAATAATACTCATTATTTAACATTTCTGGACAAAAGATACCTTATCATACTAAGATGACTTCTTAGTATCCTTTAATTTATAAAAAAAATACTATCAATCTATTATCTTACTCATGGACTCAAGCGTTCACTTCATCTTTAACAGGTTGTGTGGAGATTCGATGGCAAGCTACCAGCTACATTGGGAACTAATACTCGGCTGTAAGAGTGGATCCCCCAGAATGATCTTCTTGGTAAGACTGTGAGAAACAAGTACTAAAACTCTGAATAAGAGAATATCTGA